ACGAGTTACGCATAAGTTATTCATGCTTATTAAAGTCCTTTTATAGGTGCCTTTTTTACGCACCCACACTATGTTGGGTTTTTGTCAAGTGAAAATGGTTGTTTGGTCCAGATTTAAGAATCAAAATTACCTGTGATTTAATTATCAAATGGCTGCATCAGTCTTTAAAAGGATACAAAACAGGGCGATCCAGGACAGCTGCAGCTTAAACCCAGTCTTCAGCATCAGTAGGCAATTTAATTGGGCAGGAACTGGGAAAAACACTGCTACAAGCCTCCAATACCCAGTATTTCTAATGTTCATTGGAAGTACCCAGTCCCTATCTGGTCAGATTATTGGAAGTACCCAGTCCACACTTGGTCAGGTTATTGCCCCTTTCATAGATGCTGGCAAGACTACCGTGTTGTCATGCACCGGAAGTTCATTTTTTTGAAGTTCATCTGTTTTTAAGTAAGTCAAATTCAGAGCAGCTTCTAATGAAGTTCTAGAAATCCCGTAAAACCTGAACTGTTTTACACATGAACTATTCAAATAATCAGATGCAGGCACATCCAAAAATATGCCTGTGTCTGATTATTGTGAATTAAGAGGCCTCTGTGTGTGCAGGAAATCTCAACTATTTCTGATCCCCCTCGTAACTGAAGAATCCAGAGTGTTGCTGCTTCCAGTCCCCATCCTCCCCCTCACCTGGGGCTGAAAACAGCAGACGTACTGTGCCCCTCTCTCCTCCACCTTGGAACGGAATGAGCGAGTGGAAAAGAGTGGCTGAGATTGAATTGGGATAAAACATTGCAGCCCTGTGTAGGTTTAGTCACTGATGAGAACGCTGTAGTTTCGAAACCAGGGTTCCTGCGGGTGTAGCTGGCATCCCACTCGTGTGTGTGTGGCCCAGAGAAAAGGCGCTCTGTGTTCAGCGCGGTGTTTGGAGAGGGTATGTACGGCCTTTCTGAGAACACACTTGTACGCATGTGTAGAAGTGCGTGGGGGACAGTGAAGGACAGTGAGGGCACTGAAGGCCACTGAGATTTCTCTCTCAGCACGATGGAGTGAGAATTAACTGAGAGAGTCTACATTGAGCTGTTTTGCTTTTAATAAGAAGAAAACAAATAACTGACAAGTCTCTTATTATCCTGACCTAGTTAGGTTCTACACTGAACCATCTACTTTTTGTGTCTGAACAGCAAAAAAAAGGTAGATGTAACATGCACTTATGTGCCCTTGTGTCTATAAAGAAGGGTTAATGCACAAACTAAAGAGACACCAACAGCATCTGCTATTGCCTGGTTTTCCCCTCTTTAAAAAAAAAGAAAGGAAAAACAGGAACTTTTTCTCATCTTTGGCCAGACTCTGATCTCACGAGTGAGAGGGCTGAACACGAAAGAGGCCACAGGGAGTGACTGGTATGTTTGTGTCAACAGCTCTTCTAGGATGGATGGGCTAGAGATCTAAGAGCCTGTGTGAGTGGTAGGGGGCAAACAGCCTGCTGTTGTGAGACTGCTGAGCGACTTCCTGAGTCTAAGGCTGAGATCTTTGCACCAGACACAGCACATTCCTCCCTCTGCTCCACCGCTAATCAAACACTCATGTTTTTCCATATATGCACAGTTACAGCACCTGCAGAGTGTATTCCTTCAGAGCAGAATGGAAGATGCCAATGTTAAGAAAAGGAAATGGACTTATTCAAAATCAGGACCGCAGGCATTTGCTCAGTGTTGGCAGATTTCTTTGGTTTTAATTTGGGTTTCTCTCTCTCTCTCTTTCTCTTTCTCTCTCTCTCTCTCTCTCTCTCTCTCTGTCTCTCTCTAGTTATCAGAGCTAAAGTGATTGGACAGAAAGAAGTGCTCACTGGCAGTGACACCTATGGCAATCCAATCAGGAAGATCCAGTACGACATTAAACAGATGAAGGTATTTTTGTTTTTCTGCACCACGTTTTTCATTATCAAATAGTTATATATTAAGTCTTAACAAGTAGTTATCTAACTAAGTGTACAGATTTTACCGATTTAGCATTGATAAAGTCATAGAATGTTTAGGTTGTAAACAAAATGGAGTTTTGTAACAGTGTTTGTAAGCGTAAATGTAACAGTGTTAGTGTTATTATTATTGTTTGGTCACAAAAAAGCAGTAATTCATTACACCCAAGAACATTTTGGTCACTGGTTCTAAAGAATGATTGATTGAAATGTGTTGTCGACCATTAACATGCCACAAATAGACTCTTACAAGCTAACAACTTCACCTCTTCCGTTTCAGAGGATGTGGCCTGATATTTACACCAAGAAAGGCAGCCAGTCTTTAGGGAAAAAAAAATCTATTCCTATGTTGTAGGGCTGCGTATTGTACTGTCTGAGGTGTGATGCTTTTTGTCTGGTGTGCAGTAGATTTTAGATTGCTGCAGTAGTCTTTCTATGTTTCTTTCTTTGGACAAGAAGATTAGATCAAAACATAAGATGCAGGCTCTTCACTGCCTTAGGGTTCAGATAGCTCATGGTTCTTAAATATGACGTATAACATTAAAGACAAGCTAAATTGTTTATTAAAAAGTCTAACTTATGGTTTGATTTTTTTTTTTTAACTTTCAACGCTGCTCGGACATTCTCAAATTCTGACTCGTCCGTTAACTCATTAAGACTACTTACAGCTCTTGTCACATAATTATGGAACTGTTATGGTGTGTTGAATTATACAAATGTGTATAGAACTATGACTTTCTATGTTACATTTGAAAATTGTTCCTCCATTAGATGTTCAAGGGGCCTAGCCAAGAGATTAACACCATTTTCACTGCTCCCATCTCTGCTGTCTGTGGGGTGACCCTTAAGAGTGATGGAAAGAGTGAATATCTGGTCACAGGTACAGTAATAGTTGCAGCTTACAACCTTACCAGTTTCCGGCCCACAAATGATAAAAAGGCCATGATTTCACTCATCTGCTTGTCTCCTCTTGCCCTGTACAGGTAAACTGGAGTCAGATGGCACAGTGCATGTGACTCTGTGTGACTTCATTGTGCCATGGAATTCTTTGACCGATGCTCAGAAAAAGGGCTTTGAGGTGCGCTACGAGACGGGCTGTGAGTGCCGGGTATGTATCGGAGTATTGAATACATGTGTATCCAGGTGACAGTTCCAAAATCAATTGTGATCAATGATGTCTTCTTCTCTCTCTCCTGTGTCTTCATCCAGATTGTCCGCTGCTCCTCTGTACCCTGTTCAGTCAGTGACCCCGTAGAGTGTCTGTGGACTGACTGGATTACGGAGAGCACCGTGCAGGGTCCCCAGGCTCAGCACTACACTTGCATAAAGAGGAGTGATAATTCCTGTGCTTGGTACCGTGGCGCAGCCGCACCAAAAAACGATTTCATGGATATCGAAGATCCATGAACCTGAAGGCATCTGACTTCAGAGCTCCCTTTAGAAAGGCCTCCAAATACTGCTATGGACCCTCAAAATAATCACACCGTTATTCAACTGTATTTAGTACTTTTTACCTTAGTTCTGGTTATGTATGACAAGATGAAAGAATATGGCAGAGGTGAAGTTCTCTGACTTTCGTAAGCACTTTGAGTCCCCAGTAGCACCTACTTGTGACCTTACTATTTAATAAAACGAAAAGGTTTTTAAGAAAATGAAAAGGCTAATATTACCACTGTTTTTTTGTTTTTTTGGATAACTAAAACACATTATCTGTACATGGCATGTGTAGAAAATACTTAAGTAGTCCAATGAAATGTGTCAGACTTTAGGTATCATTAGCGATTTTGTTTTTTTTATATGGTCCATGCCAGTAACCTTTCCTTTTTCAGTCTAGAAATAACTGAAGTAATTGGATTTATGGGTGCATACAAGTGACATACAGTACAATAGATGTAAATTGCGTACTATGCTGTGCACAAAGAAATGGTGTCTTGTAATAGGCTAATTTATGTATGTTGTAATATATACAGACATTTCTAATTTATATCTAAACATTCCATTCTGGTGTTGTGTTTCATAGAAAAAGAAACTTCTTTCAGTTGCATTCACTTTTTTTCCTTTCAATTTGTAATCCTTTTTGGTGAAGAGATTTTGGGCTATGCAGTTTATAGATTACATTTTTCGAGCCCTTTAGTCTAATACTATTCGATATTCAAACGTTGTGTCAAAAAGCCTATGTCTGATGTAGTCATTTTGTATATCATGGTATCCTTTTTTTTTATCTCCATGTTCCTGTACTGTGTATATTTGTGTCTCTGAATGTTTTTGTTTTTTTTTTTAGTATCACAAGCAAAAAATAAATAGTGTGAGATTTCCGGTGCTGGAACCACTTGGGAAGACTTTATGAGAGCTAACCTGTGCATGCCTTTCATAATCCTGTATTAGTCTTATTGGTGTAACAGTTAAATATTCATTAATAAAGGAAAAGGAAAAAAAAAGCATTTACCTGTGGTCCTCTGTACTGTATATTGTAACAGAAATGTTGCTATTCAGTTGGTACTCTGATCTTCATAACTGTCTATCATAAGAAATCAGTCACTCATTCAAACCTAGAGCGGAAAGAAAGTTGCTATCAGCATCTGATTAATAATAGATATAGAGATAGTAGAAACCTGAATATATTAGCATTTATATTTAAATACGTTCTTATTCTTTAGAGGCTATGGGTGAAGAGGGGTTACATGGAGTAGATTTACAGAGCACTCAAATCCCTTATTGCTATCAACTTGCAGTTTTAAAAACCTTATCAGTGACCAGTGGTCAACTCCTTGCCCATTGAATAAACCATAGCCAAAAGCCCCAGCTCTTGTCATACAAATCACCATTTAGAACAATAACACCACCGTATATATTAAACCTTTAAACCAAACGCTGCACGTTCTGTCTTATAGCCATAGTAAACAATAAAACGTGATCAAAGCGGTTATGTTACAGGCATCTGCGTCCGCCCTCTGATTGGACACCCGAAGTATGAATGAAGCGCGTCGTCAGTCTTTTCCTCACAACCGATTGGCTGCTTCGTGCTGTTCGTCATTCGCGTCCCCGCCCTCTGATAATGCAGCATGGGGGAGAGAGCGCAACAAAATGAAGGACTTCGCGGCCATCGAGGGTCTTCATAGCAAAATAGACTAAACGACTCTTTATGGTTCTCGGATGGGTATGTACGCCGTGTCTTTTTACGCTTCCACACCACCGATCGGGCCGTATCTTTGAATTTAATTCTCTGAAAACCGTGTTTCCCCTCGTTGATGATGGTGATCGCGCTGCAGCAGCGGAGGAGCTGCAGCTCCTGTGTTCGGTCACTGTCAGTCAGCAGGCCAGTGAAGGCTGCTTAACTAGCAACCAGCATCCACAATGCCGTCCAGTGCCGACACAGCAAACGGAAATGCAGCATTAACGGTGATCATCAGACATGAACGGTTCCATCATTAGTCGTGTGGCTGTTTAAACCAGGCTCGTCGATGATGCCATGTTGTTTAAACATGATGCTGCTGCTGAGCGGCGAGCCTGCCTTACCTGTGTGTGTGTGTGTGTGTGTGTGTGTGTGTGTGTGGACTCGTCAGCGTGGTAGGGCTTAGCTCGGTGGCTAACCCCCTCACTGCCCGCTTTCAGCTAAATTATAAACTAACGTCAATCGGTCTACCTGTACCAAACTAGAAGCTACCCTTTGTATTGATGGTGAGTCGTCTAGACTGTCATTTGGACGCTGTTATTCGCTCCGTGTAGCTAGCTGACATTAGCTAACTGGTTAAAGTTACCTCAGTGCTTTAGAAAACAAGCCTACTTTGGCGAGCTAGCAGTGTTGCTAATTAGCTAGCCAGCTAGTCGTTTGTTGCTGTCATTCTTATTCCCATAACTCATTTTGACACTTATTACTGTTTTCACAGTCATCAGTTCTGCAGTTCACGTTAACTGACAGAAACACGACAAAATGTTTCCACAGGTTTGTAGTACAGACTTCAGCCCAGCTAGCGTTAGCCAGCCAGGTTAGCTCGTGGTGCTCCTTGACCGAGGTATCCAGCTAACAAGACCGTTACTCTTACAGACACAAATATAATATTAACCTTTCCTGTCAGATGAAAGTATCGATGCACATGTACTGTGAACAAGGCCGGTTAGGCTTCACTCGCTGACGGGAGGTAGCCGTTAGGGCCACCGGCGCAGCGCTGTAACTAACGTTAGAGTGCTGTACGCTCAACACAGCTAACGTTAGCTTAGTCTGCCTACAGAGACACCAGAACGTGTCAGTGGCAACAGTATTCAGTTTCTGTGATATCTTTTTAATTGTAGGTGTTCTGTTCGTTCAGGTCTATCGCTCATTTTTCAGCTGAGTTTTTCTCGCCATTTGGCAGCGAGCCCGCCGTGTTTTCGGCACGTGGCTTTTCAGCGCAGTAGCGACGCTCGACTCCTGAACGAGTCCTTCTTTTAAATCGGTTCATGGTTTCAAATGAATCGATTTTTTTCTACGACGTTTACGTCCGTGTTATAAGCAGAATGATGACAGTACTGCAGAATCAGATTTGTACAATTTAACGTCACATTACTATAAGACACCACAGTGTAACATTACGAACAGCCTTTTTGACCTTTTTACCTTTCTCCTTGGGCACTGTAGTGGTCTTCTTCTTCAGATGCCTGGGAATCAGTGGTTCTATTGATTGAATCGGACAGTTTGAAAGAATCGGTTCAGTGTACCTGAACTCCCTCGCTGGAGTGCAGCCATCATACAACCAACTTGTATCACGCCAGTCCAGGGTTTCCCTGCTTTTCTCCTCTTTCTCTAGATTTGGCACAGTGGTGATAGATCATTGATCACACCTTCTTGCACGAACTGAATGGGTCTGTGAAAGGCATATATATGCATATTACACACGCTTAAAAATGATGGTTCTTCAAGGGTTCTTAAGTAAAGGCAATGGTTATATTTAAAACCGTAAATTTGATTTAGAAACATTTCATGCTTAAATGGTTCTTTGCATGGTGAAGTGGTTGTTCAGATTGATGAAGAATGTGTTGTATATGATTTTATATGGAACCTTCTTGAAAATGGTGCTGTATAGTATCAAAAAAGGTTTTGCTGTTGTTATGATGTCACATCTGTAACAATAGAATAACCATTGTTGGTGCTATATAACCTTTTTAAAAAGGTTCTCTGTGTGTGAGTGAGTGTGTGTGTGCAACAATAAGATATATATATATATATATATATTTATATATATATATATATATATATATATATATATATATATATATATAAAAATAGAAATCTGCCTGGATTAGCATTATGGAGAAATATCTTTATCTGTGCAGTTAAATGAATAAAATGCAAATATTTTACTGTAGTATCCCTAAAATAGAACAGTAATGGCATATTCTTATTTTTTTTCATATATATATATATAATTTTGCCTGTCACTGCCAATCACAGTGTAAGTCCTTGAATATGGGACTTCTGTACTGCCAAAATATTTCCTATCTGTCTCATAGGCCAGTTATTGTAGAATAAAACTGATCTGTTGTTTCAACCGATTTCTAGTAATTACAAGAAACGTGATGGCTGTGAACCAGAACCTTGTCGGATGGACACGTAGAGCCGTTTATTCACAGAGCTCAGCTGTGTTGCGATTAATCGCGTCAGTAACGGCACATGAAGGTTAGGCTGCCCTTGTGGGGTTGGATGCATGTGCAGCCTGCTTGCTGCTCAGCTCCTTGTGCGTGTCAGCACCAGAGCTGATGAGTAAGGCTGTTCTCTGCACTTTCTAGCACACTAGCTCGCCCCTTCTGTCCCCTGAGGACTTCGGTCTCGAGTGCGCTCATATGGTGTGGGGTGGATTGAAGCTAATATAAAATGCTTTGTAATGATGTGTACAGCAGAGATGCTGTAGAGCCACAGTTGTAGAACAGCTGTGTGCCTGAGGTTTACAGAGCCTCCTTCAAACGTGCCTACATGTTCTAACAGATTTTATTGAAAAAAGTGACATGAGAGTAAGGCTAACCAGAAACATTTGTCTTTAAAGCTTGCGTATGTATTTGTCTTGCAGAAAAAACATAGACAAAGAAGTCAAGTTGTACTTTGAACGTGGAAGCTGCTGGCTGTCTGACTTAGACGCCGTTTACAGCTGATCATTTCATCCATCGTGAGTAGCAGGATTATAGTTGATAGGATATAGGATAGAGGATTTTCTACATAAAAATGCAGGTGTGTACGCTCACAAAACAGATTTAAATCCCATCGCTTAAGCCACTTCAGAAGATGCTCTGAGATGCTTTTTTAGCCAGATGCTATACAAGTGTGAATACTTCTGCCTCTGCAAGCCACATTCGACAACCAAACCCACCCCAAAACACTGTGAACATGCCACCTTCTTCTGTTCCGCATATGATCGCCTACCACTAAACAGAGGCAGCTCATTCAGTTCTCCTGACATAAGTTTCTCCTCTGAGTTTAATGCAGAAGGCCTCATTGTGCCCTAGGTTTGGTTAATCTTTACTTCGCCTCGTTCTCGTTCACGATCTCTCTACGATACTAATAACTCTAAATGGCCGTCTGCTTGTGAACATCAGTGTAAAACTGGTGTAAGAAAATGAGTAATCCTATGAAAAATTGAGCTTTTTGAGGCGACAACCATCTTGGACTAATTTGGGACGCATTTGATTACCAAGTGTAATTGCATGTGTTTAAAATTTTACCAGGTTAGTCTAAAAACAAGGCACATAAAACAACCCAGTGTAAATGGAGTCAGAGCTTATTGAGCAGGTTGAAATTGTGAGAATATCCTCTTAGATGCCAGGTTAAATGAGAGGTTCTGATGAATTTTGTAGGCCATGATAGGTCAGCGATGAACTGTCCTGGATGTAGTCCTGTGCCCAGTGACAGTTAACCATGTTAGTGTGGTACCAGCCACCAGTAATGGTAAAACCTAATTTACTGCTGGTTTACAAAAACGTTGTTTATTGAATTTTTTTTTTTTTTCATGCAAAACATAGCAAGACAGTAGTCTTGTATAGTATAGTATTCCTGCATGTGAAAGATCCTTCTATCGAACTGCTTAGGAGGAAAAAAGTTATCAGACTACGTGTCCACAGACTTTTTGACCTTGAAAGGTAAAGTTTGTCTGACTTTTACATTTGTGTCCTTTCTTACTAGAGTAAGTAACAGTTTCACAGCCAAATGAAATCCTTATCCTTTTACTGTAGTTACTTTCCCACACACTTACCACAATAAGAGGATTCCGTTACTGGCACAGTAACCTGGATATATATATATATATATACATATATATATATATATATATATATATATATATATATATATATATATATATATATATATATTAGTATTTTTTTTAATTAATTGAAATTCAGCCAGGTTGATATGCTGATCTTAGCTAGCGACGTGTATGTGTTCCATGGTGGGACTTGAGGTTAATACAGTCAGCTCACTTGCTATTACAGTTTTACCAGAGAACAGAAGATATGATTTAAACATTTCAACAGATGTTCTCTTTCTCAATACTTATGTACATCTGCTGTGTATTTTGGAAATAATTACCACTTCTAAAACTTTTCATTTACAGTTTCTTTCCAGTATTGTCTATCAAGGCATGTTTTGTCTAAATCTTATCATAGTGTAATTGTCAGGCAGCATCGCCCACCACTAGTAGTCATCGCTTCCCATAAAGGCAAAACGCCAGCCAGCTGCCTGCCCGCTATCCAGCACAGGAAATGACCAGTCTGATGAGAGTCTCCTTTTGAAAGGCAGAAAGAGCATGTCTGTTTGCCTATTTTCTCACAGATGGCTTTCCTTTCGTCATACAGCCTCTGGTGATGGCAGTGTTTCTATTTTTCACTGTTAAATGCTTAAAGGTGAATGTAATCAGAATGTTCATCTGTAGGTCTGTGTGTTTTTTGGTGTTTGTTTTTTAAAAGTTATTAATGTGGTGATTGAGACACCAATTTAGGTAAAAAAAATAAACTAAGTTGGGTGCATTAATGGGTGTGCTTGACAGAGGTGAGTGAAATAGCTTCTACATACCTGACCATAGACATATATATATATATATATATATATATATATATATATATATATATATATATATATATATATATATATATATATATAGGTGAACTCTCTGCTTGTTAACTGCCTCATTACGTAAGTGTTGAAACAGCTGCCAAGCCCCAGCGTCTCTACTAGTACATTCAGCTTTTGGGCACTTTGCTTACGTCAGCCCATCTAAAGCATGTTATTCAGATTTCTAAAAATGGAATGGGCAAACTGAACTATGTTTCAATTTGTGGTTAACCCTTGCACGTTCCTCCAAAATAGGCCCATTTCCTCTCAGCTGGAACCAGTTATTAAGTGCACCAAGGATATTAGTCTTCGTCAGAACTGCTGATTGGTTTAGAAGGGATCAGCAAGTGACATTGTCTGGTTTCTTGCTTTCAGTGATGCACAATGCCGATAGTGGACAAACTCAAGGAGGCCCTGAAGCCAGGGCGAAAGGACTCAGGCGATGAAGGCGACCTGAACAAGCTGCTGGCCTCCTCTGCCAAGAAGGTCCTGTTGCAGAAGATTGAATTCGAGCCAGCCAGCAAGGGCTTCGGCTACCAGCTGGAGACCCTGAAGACCAAGTATGTGATCTTGAACCCCAAGAATGATGGGGTGTCGGCCCAGAGACCGGCAGAGCCTGCCCTCATCAAAAGACAGGGTAAGGATATCATGCTATGATGACGAATATTCTCTATTTATGCTAGATCAGTTGAAGTATATTTAGGAAGATTTCATAGGATTGCTGGGTCACCAAATAATCAGTTCTAATATGTTACATGTATATAATAGGCTTTATTCACATCTGGCATCAACATATGTCTTGGTTGAGTATAAGTGGACAGTAAAAGTGTGAAGGGGGTCCAGTGCATCTCAGAGACCCAAAGTGATTGTCACTCAAATCAGCTTTAGAGATGGCCACTTTACTTTGCGTCATGGATGGCAACAAAGGACCAGCTAATCAACTTCGACATTGCAGCAGAGACGAAAGCTTCTTTTTCTCCCATTTATACATTTCGCTAGCTGTCGTGTTATGCGGCATAAATATTTGTCACCACAGTGAGAGTTAGCGTACTTTTATGCGGCATAATCACAAAGTCCGATCATAAGTGGTCACTGGAGGCACAGTTGAGACCCCTGAAAATACCATGTGTAAACAACTATACATCTCACTGTCCGCTTATGAAGATCACTTGGGGTGGACGTGAATACCTGGCATGAACAGGACTAAATGTTGATCACTGTGCCATTTATCAGGGGTGTACTTTCACCTCACAAAAAATTGATTCTAGTTCCTTAGGAAAATTTTCAGTGCATCATAAATGTTTTGATAAGGTTCAGCATTATTTTTAAAATAAACTGAAATCACAAATGTCACACAGTAGTAGAATATAGACAATAAAAACAGTACATCACGCTCTTTTTAAATGACATTTTAATGTTTTTGCATTGTATTTCTTTAAGAAAGTACATATTTCATTGGTTATTATGTAGGGATGCAAATGTTGTCAGATTGTCAAGCCTAAAAGCAAAGATGCGATCAAAATATCAATTTTAAAACTGATTGATCTGATTGGCAGAGCCACGTTTAAGGCCATTTTAAACAAACTCTACGTAGAATCCCAGTTTTGTTTAAACTGAATGGCTGAAAAATAGATTCTGGCTCAATGCACCTCAGTAGCTTCTTAAGGCTGTTGCCATCCACCACTTTCCTCCTCTATAATTTTGCACACCCATGTGTGATTTCCTCCCTCCTCCGCGAATCACATTTCTTTGGGAGAACATGGACAAAATAGTTGTTCGTCTAATTGGTTGTGGACATTCAATCAAAAGTGGCTCTGAACCTGACTAACTGTAGCTGCATGTTAGTAGGCTTATCTAGTGAAACTTATCTAGTGAAACTAATCACCTGTTGCATCTTAAGGTGTAAAGTTATTTTTAACCAATGGCATAGGCCGACCAGCTGTTTGTCAGTCCGAGAATAAATTGATTTATTCACATACAAAATATTATAGTTAATTATAATTATAGCATCCTGATATGCAGTTGAATCGCCACCTTCAGATGAATTTCTATGCTAGCATTTATTGAACGCGCACAATATTTCTCACTCCCAGTTTTGAAGATCACCAACTCTGTACAGATTAGTATTTTTAACAATATTACGCCTGACTCAACAGGCCGGCTATGTACTGAACCCTACACAAGATGAATCAAGTGTGCGGGAGCTAGCAGACGAAAAGTCATAACAGTACTGTGGCCTTTCAAAGCTAGGTGTGTGGGGAAAAAGTGAAAAACACTGTACTAAATAGGTGCTTATCTTTTTCTAGTCATGTGTATACAAGTCTTAAATGCTGGCTACTGTGTTCAGACCCTGCTTTTAGATGTCTGCATAGTTCCAGTGTCCAGATGATAGACAGATTAGAAAAATGTGTCTTGCGTCCTACAGCTCTAACCGACGTCAATCTTCGGACAGTGTCGGAAGGCCTTAGTGGGGGTCAAGGTGATGGCATCCCTGCACCGCAGAAGCTGCTCTTTCCAGGGAACAAGCTCTCCATGAAGTGGGAGCGGGTGTACCGGGTCGGAGCCGGCCTCCACAACCTGGGCAACACTTGCTTCCTCAACTCCACTGTGCAGTGTCTCACCTACACACCGCCGCTGGCCAACTACCTGCTGTCCAAGGAGCACAGCCGTGCCTGTGAGTACAGGACTCAATGGTTGATAAATGAATGGCATAAACTGAGATTTTCAGATTAACATCCATGTAAAGTCATGTGGCAGGAAGTCACTGGTGGCTTGTTTTCTCCAGCTCCAGAGAGACAGCAGACTAAATCCCACAGAAGTTACTTTTACACAGAAGTGATTCTGATCCAAAGGGTTTTTTTTTTTCAAACTTACTGTTTCCAATGCTGAATGTGAGCCTCTGCAAAATGGGATGCATATATATGTAAAGAAATTGATGTACACACAATCCTTCATTATGATACTCTCAGACAAAAATTCTGGTCTGCTACTTATTAATATTGCTTCAACTTTTTTGCTGTTTAATCTGCTCTTCTCTGTTAGTACCTTGACTTCTTCAGCTGTTTAAAATGGAAATAACAAACTATTTCAGTCTCATTACTCTGATAAACCCAGTCAATAAGAAGCACTTAGTAATCTGACTCGCTCTTTGAAGGCGCTCACACATTCACTCGTAAGGAAACTCAATTCATCCAGCAATAAAAGAAGACTTGTACATCTTTAATCAAGTGATGAAACACACAGTAGAATACAGAAAGCACCAATTCTGCATGCTGATATGTTTCACTGTGGCCAGTACAGTCTAGATGCTGAAAACAATTTAAATTGGGCCATAGCCAGATTCTTAGACTGGATCACCGGCAAGGCTTCAGGTTCAGTATTGTTAATGGGTAGTGATTACAAATGAACTGATCCTGGTTCCCGTTTTTAAGGAGGAAATAGAGTTATCGATATTTGACGATACTCAATTTTTAAATATCGGATTTGGTATCAGAAAAGAGTGGAATTATGTTCTCTTAAGTAGTGATGCAAGAAGTTCTTCCTTTGCTGAAAGTTCTGTGGAATGTCGTGCATCATTATATATTAGTGATGTGCAGTCGATACTTGGTTTGCCATTCGAGGTGCCAGGATTCCCATACTGAAATCACTGTTTGAATACTTGTTAAATTTCATTATGGGAAGACAGAGACACTATGCAGACTAATAAATCAGCCAAATGCTGATTTAATGTTTTAACAGAACAGACTGGCGAACAACCAATCAGTGTTACTTTATACTTTGCCACTCCAAAATGTGAAAATTCCTTCATGTTAACATGTTGCAAGGCACATGTTACCAGGGACATGTTGATTTCCTTTGGCTGTTTTTAAGATTTGACCTGCATTCCTCTGTATTGTGCAACACCAGTGCTGCCACTTCAGAAAGGGAAGCCAGCTAGTCTGGTGTTTTTCACTGCAAAATATGGCTATGAATTTTCTACATAGCTGGGAACCCCCATTTTTTTTTCCATGATAAATGCTGTACGGAAGTGTGAATACACTGAGACGGACAGCTGTGCATTTAAGGTGCGTTCTACTTGGCAGGTTTTAGTTCATTTAGAACAAGCCCTGGTGTGATTGCTCTGCTAGTGCTGTTTTTAAACCATGTGAGAATGCTGCCATCTGAACTTTGGTGCGCACCAAATAAGCAGTCCAAGACCCCCACAGCAGGTCGGCCTCGGTTTGCTTCTAAAATAACTTAACAAGACTGATGACACAGGACATAAAACCAGCAAGCCCCGATAAAAACAGAACAGCATGATTCACAAAGTTCAGTGGACATTATCAGTTATTGCTTGTCATAAAATCTGTCCAATCAGTTGTGACCTTTTACTCATATGACTTTTGTTTACATCTTTTGGTTCAAAGTTATATATTTTAGTGTGAATGCAAAGCAAACCAGAACTAAAATGCAACAAATGTATTTTGCTTTGGTCTGGACCAAGAGAACCAAACTACAAGGTTTTTTTTTTTCAAATTTATTTATTTATTTTTGGTTCTCCATGACTAACTGGATATCCGATTATGAATTCTTATGGATACTTGAATATGAAAATTGGTGGTGGATGATATGGCAAAAATATCATGATACCTTGAGACTTTTTCACAATACACTATATGGTCATGATTTTTGTTTTCTAAAATTTAGTAAGTGTAATGCATAATAATAATAAACTTACAACTAGTGTTGTAATGTTTTACAAACTGTACTGTGCTAAATCAAGTTAAACAAGCCTAATTATGCTCTTTTTTTTGTCAATCTTCCTTTAGTACTGACTATGCTCAGAGAAGTGTACTGTGATGCAGCTTATCATTGCAATGATAAATGATACATTGCCCATGCCTAGTCGGAACGCACATCCTCATTATTTATCCCAAATGGCCTACAGTTATTGTGATGGACAATAGAATTCTTTTTACGTTAACAAAGTTGTCTTATATTTTTTTTCCTTGTCTCCTTTAGGTCACCAGTCAGGATTCTGTATGATCTGTATAATGCAGAATCATATCATCCAAGCCTTTGCCAACACAGGCAACGCCATCAAGCCTGTGTCCTTCATCCGCGACCTGAAAAGTAAGATACTTCTCCTCTGCTCTTGGACAGGTGCATGTGCTCTAGGCTGCTGTTGTCATTCGGTTACAAGAAGGCATGATCCACCTAGATGACTCAGTTGTCTCAGGAAGTGCGTGTGTTCACACTAGGCTTCAGACACAGTCTCACTGACTGTGGTCTGTGATTAAGGGTTTAGTCATGAGCTTTTGCTCCTGTTGGGTTTGCTGCCAGCCACTGAGATGTTCTAATGTGTTCCCGGCTCCCCCTTCTGTTTTTTTTTGTACCTCTCTGCCGCTCTCTCTCCCTCAAATGTGCCCTCTCTCTCTCCTTGCGGCTGCGGTGGGGGAGTCGCAGTACTAGCACAAATCCACAGCAGGGTTATCAGTGCGCCGTCAGCAAGCAGAACAGGACCTGGTCTCTCTCCTGAGGACGCATGCTTCACTTGTTAAGACCTGCCCCTGTATTCTCTTCTTACATGTTCTTAAGCTCTTAGTCTGTTCACTATCAGCTTCTCTGTCTGACCCCTGTCTGTGTGTCTCTTTGGAGTTTCTAATGTATCTCATTTACTTTTGTACTTTGTAATGATGTGGATAGCTTTATGCATTTCTTATATTGAGAGTTTGAGATTTTCAGGTTGTTGTTATTAAATGGTCTTTCACATATTCATTTGCATGCAGAAGTCAAGGACCCGGCTGTGCTTAACTTCATACGCTGATTTCCTTCTTCTTTTAGAAATTGCTCGCCACTTCCGGTTTGGCAGCCAAGAGGATGCCCATGAATTTTTGCGCTACACCATCGACGCCATGCAGAAAGCTTGTCTTAATGGTTACCCAAAGTAAGATCTGCTCTGAGCTATATCAGCTTATATAACACTACAAATGGAAGAGCAAGTAATGGCAAATTGGCTTGTTTGTTGGAATGTAATTCTCTTTTCTTTTGATCAACAGATTGGACAGGCAGACGCAGGCCACTACACTTGTCCACCAGATCTTTGGGGGTTACTTAAGATCAAGAGGTAAGATGTGACTCACTCTGCGACCTCCCCTCATTTAAGGAGTGGGCTGAGCTAGAGAACTGAGGATCAGCTGTAGGCCTGGGTGATGCCTATAATCAATTCTCAAAATATTTTAGAACTATCTAGAATTCTAAAACTATCTAGAAATCTAAAAGTCAGAGCCATCAAGTTGGATTTTGGATCACGTCATGACTCTTTATGTATTGATGTCACATGTTCATACTCAAAAAGAAGGTCCGGACCAGTGTTTAGGTCTCAAGAGCAAGATCAACACTATACTAAAGAAGATATAATTAATGTACATCCTCAGAAGAAATGTCCTTCACTAACTTTTCACTGAGTTTTCTTTGAATACCCTTTATGTACATGTGATCATCAGATTCATCTGCTCGGAGAAGGGGTCAGAAGCACAACTGATATTTCAACATGTTGTGGGCAATGGCAGACTTGTGTAGTGTAGCTTCAACTCAAGGTGTTACTCAATAACTTTTGGTAACAAAGTATTTTACCTTGTTTTGAAAGCTGTGATTGCAGCCCTGTTGGTTCTTGGGTTTTAGCTTTGAATGACGCACACAGAAGCAAATTATGTGTTGATAGCTCCCTTGTGGAGAATGTTCAGCCTACTAAATGTACACAAGTAAGTAATCATGATTTACAAATTAAAAATAAGGCATTTTCCATCATTATAGTGAAGGTGAATTCAGCTATAGATACCTGTAGGGGAATTGTAAAGTTTATTTTCATAATTTTAAAACTCTTCCAAAACCATTGTGACGTTTGAGCTGTATGGAAAACGCTGTTTCCAGAGTTTCTTCCCAGAAGGTTTGTCGCACTTTGAGGAAACTCACAGCAGAGACAGTGGAAAATTTACTATATTGTAGACTAATGGCTCATTACACGTACATATTATTTAATATTGTTTAATAACCCAGTTATGTCAGTTCTTTTTCCCAACAAGACTATTATCACAAAGATTCGGATTACTCATCAGTCATGGCTGATATCTGATTACAGCACTCTGTCGTACAGTTCTGACTTGTTTCTGAAGTCATAGTCAAAATATAGTGGAGTGAAATATGAACAGTGTATGACCAGCAGAGAACATTTATTTCAAGTGGCCTCTATGCAGTCCTCAAGTGTTTAAAAAGTGAGACTGATTGCAGTCTTGTAGTGTCCAGAGTTCATAATGAAATATTTGCCTACTTTGTGACTGTAGTTCAGTTGGCCAACATGACTGTTTAAAGCATTAAGGAATATTTAACAGTATAATTTCTCTTCTTTCTTTGTTTTCTTTCTCTTTTTTTTTGTACAGTGAAGTGCTCCATTTGTAAAAGTGTGTCAGACACGTATGACCCCTATCTGGACATAGCAGTGGAGATTCGGGTGAGTTTCCTGCACTTGTGCCCTAGTTTTATTCCTTTCCAAGGTTCTCGAGTGTCATAGTGTCCGGATGATGGATGTCTCTCTTCTCTGTGTGAAAGAACTCTGCTCTGAACCTTTCTTCATGTCTCACTTGTCCTCAGCAAGCAGCCAACATCGTACGTGCCCTAGAGCTGTTTGTCAAGCCAGACGTTTTGAGTGGTGAAAACGCCTACATGTGTGCCAAGTGAGTTATGGATGTACTTCAAGGAAAATGTATTTAGATGTGCACTGTGAGCAAACAAAAAGTGAAAAAAATCAATACGAACTGTAAAAATTCTCAGGATTTTTTTTTTTTTCTTTCTGAGAAATAAGCGTTGGTGCTATAAACATTGCATTGCAATTTTTTAGCCTTGAGAAGCTAAATTGCTTCTAAAAGTATTTTAATAAGTGTATGAAAATATAATTTATAAAAAGACAGAAGCAGCAAGTAAAACGTTTGTTTAGCCCTATTCAGATGGAGTTGGAGTCAGATGGAGTCTATGGGGAGGTGGACAGTGCCAGTTGACCTCAGCACATCTGTAATGTTTATGTCCAGTTTGCATGGAATAAGACATCTCTGTATAAATGACAGAGGTGGGAGTGGCTACTCAACTTACACACAGCCTTCACCTCAGAAAAGAGTAGAAAACATGTTAAAACATTTAATGTATTTCCTTTACCCCAACCTTCTGTCTTGTCTTAAGAGAATGCACTGTGTTATTAGCTTCGGCATTCATATATTTGATTTTAGCCACAGGGAACAGAAGTAAATGCTTCAGGTGCCTCCATATTCAAACTCTTGTTCCAAAGAGTATGATAGTGTTTTCACTGACATGTCGAGTCCTAATATAACCTGAGGTTATTCCTGCTGCTCGTTTTATGGATTGTAATAGGCTCTGAAATCTTTACTGACGTGGGAGCACGCAGTCCATAAAATATTACTGAAGTAGTACATTTGGACAGAACTAAAATCACAGAAACGCTGGTAAAAAAATTATATTTCCCTGCCTCCTCACGTAAAACTCACCTTGTTCCAGTAAGACTTAATTCTGTGAAATTCAGATTCCCCACAAGGGGGCACTATTGGCACACTCAAGTATTTTTCTTTTTCTGAACATGGGAATACTCACAGCAGAAGTAACATGCATATGGCTGAAGTCATACATGTGAAAAAGGGAATGTAGATTACCTAAAGGTAGTGTTATTAAAATGCGATTTTCAATTTAATCAGTTAATTCTAATCTGGGTTCATGAGGGCAGCTCGAATCTAAACAACCTCTGGACATTTTGTATATTGTGAGGTTCTTTGTTTACAAACATCTGGATTGTAGTCCAGAACTACCTGATATACTACAACGACCATCAACCCCAGAACTTGAAGGAGAATTCAACCAATTTCTAAACAGATTCAGATAATTAACTGGTTAAGATGTGAACAAAGCCATGTAGAGTAGTTTGATGTGAAATGCTCCATTATAGAGAAACTTGCCGAAGCAGGATTGTTCACAGCGGTGGTGATATGAACCAGATGTCTAAAGAGTTTAATGCCTCTAAAAGCTCCCTCACAGAAAGCTTTTACATGAAATGGTTACAGATACAGTAGCTGATGTCCGAGACATTGTTTAGGATAATTTCGAGAAGCTCACGGCTTAAAGTGAATTATTTAAAAATACATTCATGGCAGAGAATTACATGCAAATGATCTTTAAAGAAAACTTTGAAGTATTTTTGGATTTACTGCTACGTGTGGTGGTTTTGTACAGCAAGTCTCAACATAGACGTTGTGAATTCTGGATTCTGTCACCACCAACGTAAAGAAATCTGACTCTTTCTCTGCAATAGGGCTGCAACAAACGACTAATTTGACAGTCAAATAATCTATCGATTACTGAAACGAATAATCGATTATTTGGATTTTGAATCATTACATTACCAAATAACTTATGTAGCTGTTAGCTTTTAAATTTAGCTTGAAGTTATTTGCATTTGCTAACAATGAAGACAATAAAGAAGAATAACATTGAAGAATTCACTGTTTTAATGAACTTTCCTGCTAATACAAAAGATAAAAGAATAAAACTTCAATGTATTTTTCCTGTTAAAATTTGTAACCAATGATGTGCAAAGTAGCAGCAATAAAATATAACAAATCCAACTCAGTTTTCCTTTAATCAAGTAACTAAAAAAGATCAGTCTAAATTTAAACAGTGCAGTCTGTGATCTGTGCGTTCTGCTGTCTGTCTACACTTTGCTGCAATTAAATTCTACAGTCACAGGTCTTTATTGAAATGGAGGAAAGTCAGTATCTCTCCGTGCTCCTGTGAGAGTCTCGCTCTCCTCTGAGAGCGGATACTCCCCGCTGTAGAGGAGACGCGCTCTGACGGAGCTGAGGGGAAGTGGCGAATGTTTGTGGCGAACTTCTCTATGAACAGTTAAATGAACGATTTTGTCTAAACGCTTTATTTCATCGGTAACCTTTCGTCCAGCTGCCCTGTGTGTTCACGAAGAACCACCGCCTTAAACTGTTAGCGAGCGGAGCTAAACGTTCACGGAGAACAGAAAACTGTTTGTAAACACGCTCCTGTCGCGAAACTGACCGCACCGGTGGCCTCGACGCTAAGACGACGATGCAGCGTTTAAAAGTGTAAACGTTATCTGGAAAGTGAACAGGGTCGCTGTGAATAACAGTTACTTGCTTCTGTGTTCCAACTCCGTTAAGTTTACGATTCCAGAGAAAATGCAATTACAGCTCAGCTCACAGCATGAAGCAGGACGGGACGTTAGCATTAGCTAACCAGCTCGCTAGCACAATTATCGCCGCGTCCCAAACCACACACTTCTGTACTTCACACACTACACTAATGAGTGCAGTTATGGTATATGCGCTATTTTTACACACTATTTAGTGTGCTAGTATGCGCTTTGGGACGCGGCGTATCTTACCGAGATGAATCTTCTTCATCCAGTGAGCCGCAGTTTCCTCTTCAGATACTCCATCATGGAGGATGTGCTCCGTGCCAGCTAAGCTCGGCTTTACAAACAGCACAGCTGACCTTTTTTTCTGAGTTTAGCTCCTGCACTTTTGAGGATTTTTTTTCTTGAGGCTGCCATCGCGCTGTTGTTAAGTCTCCAGTGACCGGTAATGTCAAAACGTTCCTAGTGAGCGCGAGAAAGACGCGTAATGACGTCACCAACCATTCGACTACTAAATTAGTTGTCAATTAATACGGTCGTCGATTTTAGTCGACTAAGTCGAATAATCGTTGCACCCCTACTCTGCAGTAACTCATGACTTGTTTACATCTCAACAATGAAATTATGCAGAAATTTTGAAAAATCTGTGGAGTTCCTGTGTAACCTGCATCAAAGTCGTACAGCTACACTTCATTTAGATGCCTTCAGCAATGGGTATTGGAGACACACCACATAGTGAGAATAGCTCAACTTTAAAGAGCACGGACAGAATATTGGAATGGAATATTGGAATATATTATATATATATATATATATATATATATATATATATATATATATATATATATACACACACACACTGAAGTGTATCGCATATTTGCGCCTGTGATCTTTTGTTTGCACAGTGTTCATTGTTCCTAGCATGTGTGACAATATTGTCGTATTGTACAGCTCTGATTCAGTATGACTGTTGTTTAAGATTTTATTTTTGTTTTAAATGTTCTAGGTGTAAGAAGAAAGTGCCGGCAACAAAGCGGTTCACAGTTCATAGAACGTCGAATGTGCTCACGTTGTCCCTTAAACGGTTTGCCAACTTCAGTGGGGGAAAGATTACCAAGGTACTGACCTTTTTCACAACCAGGGTTATGCACAGTGTTTCTGAAGTGCTAAATAATAAAATTTATCCCGTTTGTGATTTTTCTCTGCTACCTTTTTTCCAGGATGTTGGCTACCCAGAGTTCCTGAACATTCGTCCATACATGTCTCAGAGTTCAGGAGACCCAGTGATGTATGGCCTCTATGCAGTCCTAGTGCATTCTGGGTACAGCTGCCATGCTGGCCACTACTACTGCTATGTTAAGGTGATTGTGCTGTTAATGATTTCTGGACTGTTGGGCTCCTTAACATTGTGATTTTTTTTGTTCAGAGGTGTAAATTTGTATCTTCAAAAATGGCTAAAAATAATCAGATCTGTTATGTGAGGCATTGTCTTGATAGCCCTTGTCATTTTTGAGCACTGTTTTTATTCCTCATTGCTCTCCCCTTGTGTTTTTCCACATTTGTAGCACAAAAATAGAATCAATGAAAAGTAATTTTGACTCACTCTACACCTGAGAATTTGTACATTTCCCGACCCTTTATATCTAAAAATCTGCAGCCTGTGTCGCTTGGTAAAACGCATCTGAAGTTACATTGTTTGTTGATGATCAGGCACAGATTAAATACAGTCTTTTTGTCGTATTAGATCTATAGTTTAAAACCGCCTCATTAGTGTAAATGCAAAGACCTTATGTCTACTTGCCTTTTGTTTTTAATTTATTTGTCCTTCACAGGCCAGTAATGGACAGTGGTACCAGATGAACGACTCGATGGTACATTCCAGTAACATCAAGGTCGTGCTCAATCAGCAGGCTTATGTCCTCTTTTACCTGAGGTAGAACAGCAGCTCTTTTCTTCCCTGCTGTGATTTTTTTACATGTACAGTTTAGGAGGGAAATGTTATTCATGAGACTGATGTCATTGTGCTGTAGGATTCCTGAAAAGAAGAACACAGATGGTCCAAGTGTAAAGCAAAACCTGGTGCATTCTGGGAGGGCTAATATGACTCCTGAACAGCTGAAGAAAATTACGCTGAACGGACCATTGTCGTCTCCACAGGTTACCAAGGTAGGCATACAGCAGTGGCATCATCACAGTGTCTGGGAGAATTGTGCTAATCTGAGGTCGGTTCTGAACATTTTCACCCTGAAGTCTCGTATGAGTCACTGACCTTTACATTTCTCCATTTAACAGATTCTGCTTATTTTACAGGGGGATTGTCACATTTTTTAATTGTTAAAAGGTTGAAAAAAACTTGAGTTACTTCAGAGAAAAAAAAAATGAGGGGGGAAAAAAGTACAGTGATGTTTTGAGCATGTTTCAGAGGGAGGACTCCTCGCCCAAGAATCACAGCAGCAGCCTGCCTCTCCCATTCAGTCACTCCCACTAGCTCAACCTCTTCAAACTCCTTCACATAACTTTTTTTAAAAACAAATTTACCTCTGAATATTTCAGCTGACTCTGCTGAGCTGAGACAAACATTTAGTAATGTTTTTAAGCGAGCACTCTGTCCAGCAGCTTAAGCCATTTTAGCTCCGTTACATGCAGCTTATGTGAGCTGTCTGTAGAATGAGTTTCAATCTTGATTTGATGCTGCCCCAAGTTCTTTTCGCGCTTTGAACATGTGAATGTTTGTCAGTACAAATGCAGTTATTATTAGCAGCAACTTTTTAAATGTTACTGTGTTCAGTTTTTCAGTGCTAAGACTTTTTCACACCCTTCAGGAAAAAAACGTTTGTTAATTCCACAAATTTTAAAGACTTTTACAAAGTTGTAAAATCAGTGACCTGCAGTGCAGGTATAACTACACCCCACTAGCTGTAACAGTCTGCATGAACTCTGGGAGATGTAGGAATCAAGCTATGTAGGTTTTTAAATAATTAAAAAAAAGCTCAGTGTTGTTTCTGGTGGTCCTTTTGTTTTAAACGTTTATTTAGAGGGCTGGAAATCTGGTCTGTATGATGGGGTGTTTGGTCTCCTTTAAGTGACTTGTATACAGCAATATGGTGCATGGCTAGGAGGTTAGACATACTGTTGTCTGTAATAAGGACACAGTGTTGGTGGTGCAAAGCACTCTCTTATACAACACCAAAAGCAAAATGATTGCTAATAGAATAAAATCTTCAGCCTGCTAAACGTGAGTGAGTCACAAGTCAGGTCCATTAGGTGCTTCATATCTTATGGTGGAGAGAAAAAAGAAAATTGAAAAGTGCAGAGAAATTCAGGCTTCACAATGGCTGCTGCTAATGCTTTACTTATAGTTAGATAATAGATTGGTCAACTACATTTTGTGAATAGAAAAAACTTTGAATTTGTTTTTTGGCAGAGCTATTGCTTTAAATGCTAGCTACGTAAAATTGAGTAATTGCTCATCAGTTTGTCTTTTTTCTAATCTCCAATAGAAACTGGACACTGCTCAGCTGAGGAAGATCCAGTCTGTGGATGGGGGTCTGGGTGTGCCTGTTGCTCGAAACGGCTGTGGCGTCCAGTCACCCAAGCTAGCTAACGGCACGCCTGCTGCCCACGCTGGATCCAGGATTCCGGGTGGCCCATCACTGATTGAGGAGCCCTTCAAAAAACTGAAGAAGCCCGCTCCTCAGCCCCAGGCCCGTGGCTCTGCACCTAGCGCGTCCTCGAACGGGATCGCCAAGTCCGACCCCGACAAGAGAGGCAGCGGCGAGGGCCGCAGCCTGGTGCTGTCTACCTCACTCAAGTCCCTGTCGGACTCCTCGTCAGCGGACACCTCCTCAGAGTCCAAGGTGCCACTTCCTGCATGCTGCGTCAAAACATGTTTCTGGCAGGACATGCTGTTTCTAATGATCCTAAACTGGCATGAGAAAAAGTTTTCCTGTTTTTCAAAGCTGTGATTTACCTGGGGCAAAGATTGCTGCTATTGTTTCTAGGGTTTCAAAATTCTTCAATATCCATTATGCCCAAAAGCCAAGAATGTTCTTCCAAACACACATTGACTTGATTAGTTACATACTCTGCTCATCAAAGGTTTGAGTGGTACTGGCTTTCTCAAATGTTCTTAGTAAGTTAGCATGTCCAGTTTGCAATAACATATTTAAGGCCTCATCCTCCAGATATCCATCCAAATATTTTTGAAAACAGTGGATATTTTTTCCTCTGTTTTCAAAAAGATCTTCATCCATACCAACAGCATAATCTCTCAGCATAATGAACAATCTCGCTGTCCACATGAGAACACAAAAATGACTTGAAAACACACACATGATCATGCCAGCACTGTAGAGGGAGATAGTACGGTAAAATTTGATGTCAACCACAATAGGCTTGTTGACAATAGGCTTGTTGACACAGGCTGGCAGGCCCCTGTAATTCGATACATCTCACTCAGATTCAAAGTCTGATTTCTGCCAGAATATAGGAGTTTAAAATGCGAAAACAAGCTACCGCTTGCTGCTGTGGTGCTGTTTGTATAGTCATGATTACACTACTGTCTCTGAAATGTCCACACAGTACTGATCAAGCAGAGAGTTATCCACATATTTGCATGTGGTAATTTCTTTTCCTTGAAATAGACGTGTGTAGTCTTTAATATGTTATTGCAAACTGACAAAACATGCTTATTTATTAAAAGCATAAAAGGTAGGCCTCCAAACATTTGACAGGCAGTATCGATGTGAAATGGTGTATATACAGAATCAGTGAACCTTTTGTAGTTGTCATTGATTTGTCATTTAAAGCTGTCTCAGTGTAAATGGCATAGACTAAAACATTAAAGCGGCTTGTTGCCTCTGACCTCTAGGAATCGATCGGCACCAGAAGTGCTCCCGTGGGAGATGTGTCCACCCTCTCCAAGAGCGGCGTGAACGGGACGGCCTCTCCAGCTAAAAGTGCCGAGCGAGCAGCTACAGAGGAGCAGAAGTCAGTGAAGCTGAAACCACCGGCCCTCACCAACATCTCGTCCGAACCCAACAGCACCATGTCTCCTCCTCCCGCCAAGAGGCTGGCCCTGTCCGCCAAGAAGGTGAGCGTGACCACCACCTCTTTACATAGCTGCATGGACAGTGTAGCTGTGATTGTCATAGGGCTGAGCAATGTTGTCTGAAAACTGTATTGCGATATTAAAACAAAAAAACAAGCTGTGTAGATCATATAAACGACAACGTTTCAGGAAAAATAGAACGATTGATCTAAATCAGTAACGGAACTTGAGTTAATACTGTTATGTTTGACATAAAAAGTCGAGTAGATTTGATAATGTTGTAAAAAAGCCCAGTGACCTTGTTTTATATCTCAATAACAGTGTAGAACACATTGCTCAGCTCTATCTTAGAGAGTTATGCGTGTTTGCTTGCTGCCTGCCCCTTCATTCTTTTCCAGCGTATATTCATGACTGAAAGTTCTCCCATTGGGTTGCATAGCCGCGTTGATAAATGAAGCATTAGATCTTTTTTGTGTGTGCTCTTGTGTCTATACTGTTGACTCAGGTTGGCACTACTGTCCTTTTTAGAATTTCTTTGTCTTCCTTTGCTTTTGTATTCTTTATTTCTAACCATTTCTAATTCTTCTCTGCCATACTTGTTTTCTTTTTTTTCTTTTTTTCTCTTCTTTCCTTGTTTTGTTCGTGTTCTGGTCTTGATTTCCCTCCATGTTTGGACCCCTCTATCTTCATCATGTTTCGTTGGCTATGGTTTATTTTAATTTTTTTTTTCGACCACCAAGTTTTTATTTATGTCAATAACTGCAGGCCAGTCCCAGTCTCAGCCTCAGCCGGACCCCGAACAACAGCAGCAGCAACCGCAGCAGCAGCACTGAGGCATCGCCTTCCTCATCACATCATCAGTCCCGTGACCCTACGCATCCAGCTGATTTTCACCATCTTGCCCCCGCTTCACCTTCTCAACACCACAGGTACCGCTGTCTTATTTGTTCTGCTGACATTTCCTCTTTGAGTTTAGGGCAAATGATGGGACCTTGAGCTCAAAATGCTTAACCTCTTATTCACCAGGGTATATCTTGGTTTTTCCATCTGAATTTATTGACCAAATCGTAAGGCAAATTATTCAGTAACTACATGAAATAAATGTACATTTTTATTTTATTTATTTATTCTTTTTTTTTTTGTAAAAGTTCCCCTCAAATTAACAGAACATGTTTTATGATCATACACATAATGCTATGTGCTTAAAATTTACTGTTGAAAGCCAAAAGTCTTAGACACTCTTGGTATTATGTTATAAAAAATAAGTTTTACAGAGTATATCACTGAAGAGACACCATCTGTTTATAGTTTATAGCCCTGATTTGTGGAAAAACGGATCAACTTTCAGTAGACAAAAAAAATTGTGAGTTCAGCTTCTTTTATTATAAAGGTTTAAAATTACATTATCCATCTATTTGACTGGAAAGAAGACAGTTACAGCTCTCATATGACAACCACCTTTTGAATGTAGCTTATGAAATATGAAAGTTATGAAGAATGACGTTTTGGAACCACCGGTGGTCCCAAGAAGTTGAAAAGGTTAAAAGAAATCCTACAATGCCAACATTGTATAGGGTTAATGCAGTGTAGACTTAACAACCAGCTGGATTGTACACTTTATGGCCAAAAGTATATGGACATCCAGATTCGTACATCAAACTGCCAAATAGTGAAGTGTGAATCATCTCTCAAGATAACAAGTTAGAGTCCAGTGGTGGAATGCTTTACACTGCTCCAGCTAATGCTTGGCATTGCACATAGTGATCTTAGGCTTGCGTACAGCTGCTCGGCCATTCAATTTCATGAAGCTACCATCGCATGATTCTTGTGCTGATGTTTCCAGAGGCAGTTTGAAACTCTGTAGTGATGCAACAGAGGATAGGTGATTTTTATGTGCTGTGTTTCAGTCCCTTTGAGTTTGTATGGTTTATTGCTTTGTGATGGATTGATGGAGAATGTATTTATTATGGTTCTACATAGAACCATCATTTTTAAGTGTTTGTGGTTAAAACCTTCCCTATTAAACTTATGAAAAGTTGAATTGACAACTTTCCATTGTAGCGTAAGAATTAAACTTAACTTAATCATCAAATTTTCAATCGTAAGAATTCAGTTTGAACCTGGAGTAATTATTTAACAACAATTATTAAATTTAATATATTGCTTTGGTCTATTGCTTTGTGGCTGAGCTGCTGTTGCTCCTAGATACTTCCATTCCACAATAATAATACTTACAGTTGACTGGCGCAGGTCTGCCATGGCAGAAATTTAATTTTCATTTGGGGCAAAGGTGGCATCCTATGACATCCTATGACTCAATGAGCTTTTCAGTGCGACCCATTCTACTGCCAGTGTTTGTCTATAGAGGCTGCATTTCTGTATGCTTGATTTCATACATCTGTAAGCAATGTGTGTGGCTGAAACATGCAAATTTAAATAATTAATTTAAAGATACTTTTGGCCATATATTGTATATAGAGTTTCTGTGGTAAGCATTTCTGCGTACTATAACTGTGCTGTTATGTTTTTCTTATCTTGTTATTGTTATTGTTGTTTTTGTTTTCTCTCAGGGTTCCATTCCATTCACCCAAGCTGCAGCCTCCACCTGTGACCCATCTCTTTAAAAACACAAGCCCCCTTAAACAGCTCTCCTCTTCCACAAAGAATCCCACACTCTCTTCGCCAGTCAGCGAGTATAAGCCCCACCCTACCAGCATCGCTGGACCAATCAAGAAAACTGTGGAGTCCAGTACAGGCAATTCTGATGGACTTGGCAGTCCCGTGTTGAAGATAAAGAAGAAGAAAAAGAAGCGGCGCCACTCGCAAGTAGAAGCCCCTATCAGTGAGCTTCCTGCCAAACCCCTGCAGGAGGAGCCAGTGAGCAGGCGTGAAAAGAAGAAAGAAAGAAAACGGAAGAAAAGGAAAAGAGAGGAAGAGCTGAACGGACTTGAGGCTCAGAGAGAGGGGGTGCAGTCCCATCTTGAGCCATCACCTCAAGATGAAGACTGGTGCCTTGGAGACACATGGGGGATTAGTGTAGATGCTAAAGGAAGTACCCAACGGCCAAAAAAGCAGTCAGAACCATCCACAGAACCAAAACTGTCTCCGCCCAAGGCCCAACCCGAGAGTCAGTCAACACCCCACCAGACTCTACCATTACTTTCTGCTGGACCAGCCCTGCAGGGCTCCACCTTGAAAAAGAAAAAGAAGAAAAAGAAGAAGCAGCTCAGAGAGGAGCTGGACGAGACCGAGGGCGAACCTGAAATTTCTAAAAGGTTTGATGGTTTCCTATCTGTTTTTGATTTCATTCAAAAATGGAAAAGATCTTTCTCTAATTATCAAATGATACAAATAAATTCCCTTTTTTCTTTGTGGTCAACAGTAGTGCTGGAAGAAATGGGATGATGCAAATGGATGCAGAGTTGGGGGATTTGAGTGAGTCAAAGAAGAAAGCCAAAAAGAGGAAAAGAGAAGAGGCAAAGCTGATAGAAGCTGGAGAATCTCATGAAGACCCTGCTGGAGATAAGCTGTTTGGTCAGAACCATATGGAGAGAGAGAAGTGCAAACCTACCACAGGTACCAACAACAGTGTGTGTGTGTAGAGCATGTTCTATATCTGTGAATAAAATCCGCCAGTATGCGCTTAAAAATTGGAATTTATCAAACGTGCACGCACATATGCCGCTGTAGGCAATGAGCAAAGAGATCCTGCTCTGCTCGTTCCTGGCCAGGCTCATTTACATAAAGATACGCCCCCAAATAGCTATAAACACACTTAAAAATGATGGTTCTTCAAGTGTTCTTTAGTAAAGAAAATGGCTCTGTATAGAACCATGAACACTCAAAGAACCCTCTGCATGATTAAAGGGTTCTTTGTATCCTGAAAGTCTTCTTCAGATTGATAGAGAATGTGTTAAATATGGTCCTCGAACTGTCATTTTTAAGTGTGTGTTGTATGCTTGTCCTTAAAAGCATATGTTTCCCTATTAAACACATGAAAAGTTGAATTGATAACTTTTTCCTAACATGTAAGAATGAAATTTGATAATTTAATCATTAAAATTGCACTCGCAATTTCAAATTGTATTTATACTAGTATTAATACGATTTTAGTTGTTTACATTGAGTTTCTAATATCAAGAAATAGGATTAAAGATAAAATGCTTAACACGCTTCTGGCACATTTAAAGCTCCCAAAATATTAAGCAAGACAAGATCATCACGGTGGATTTTTAGATTTTCACATTTGTACTCTTGAAAAACGTTGCTTTTGTTTGTTTGAAGTATAGTTTTACTTTGTTTCAGTCAAATTAATTACTTCACAGCTGGCTACCACATTAAGTATGTCGTCTTTATTTATTTTTATAGTGTATGAACAAAATAGTTGCCAATGATCAATTATGCTAAAATAGCTGGAAATTAATGGCAGTTTGGGCATCTTAAAATTGGTTTACTTCAGTTGCACTATTTCTTTACCACTAGGGTTTCTGCATACACATGGTTAGGAGTAGTTTTAAATATACACACATTCCCACCCACAAGAAGAAGTGCTAATTCACATGTGGTATGTAGAAACACTGATAAATGAGACCCCAGCTCTATTTACAGCCCCCGTAGAACACACACAATGCCCTATTATTTTATTTCTTTACTGAAACATTTCAGCCTGTCAGCCTGTGTGAATGATACCGTAATCTTGGTATCTGTTTCAATGGCCACTAGGATTAGCAGCTGTGGTGGTCTGGGACAACCAGGTTCAAGACGGCTACAAGCTCAGCAAGAGCTCTGCGGGATCCGAAGACGCAGATGAGAAAAGGCCTCGTCCTGCCTCCATGGCCTGGGATGGCAAGAAGAGCTCTGATGTGCTCGAGGAGCTCCTTAAGAACGCCACAGATAAAGCTTATGGAACTGAAGGTAAGACTGGACTATCACTGGTTAATGGAATCTTTTTCTTTTTTTGTTCATATGGAGGTTTTGTTGGATTTTAGTTATTTGGAATTTGCTGTGTTTATCAAGATCTTCAATCAGGCCTAAATGTTGAAAATTTTCTGTCCAAGCCTGATCCGGCACTCAGCATCAAGTGTTGAGTCCGAACTTAACTTGAGCCCAAAATTCTATCTGAAACTGACCCCAAACCACATCATATTTAGATTTCACAACTGACCCGAACTGGCCCATCCATCACCCAAAGTGCAGAATAAAACCTGACAGGATAGCACTGGTTCCCATGTAGTGATTATAATAGCTGTCATTACAGTGTATAAATAAAATATAAAACAATACAACATAATATGCTATAATAAATAAATCTGCTTCAAATTACATTTAAAGTCTGCTTTAACTAGTTTAATCATTAAATAATGCTTTTGAACAGCATCTCAAACCTTAAAAAAAATTCCATGCTGAGATGTTACAAACCCATTTCCAAAAAAGTTGGGACACAGTGCAAAATGTAAATAAAAACAAAATGCAATGATGTGCAAATCTTTTAAACTGTATATTTCATTGAAAATGGTAAAAAGAAAATACATTAAATGTTGAAACTAAGAACTGTTGTTGTTTTTTGAAAAATATTTTTAAAAATATTTGCATTTTCAGTTCGATGCCAACAACACATTCCAAAAAAGTTGGGACGGGGCAACAAAAGGCTGGTAAAGTTAGGTAATGCTAAAAAAAAAAAAAACACCTGATGGTTGATTGGCAACAGGTCAGTAACATGATTAGGTATAAAATGAGCACCTCAGAGAGGTTGAGTCTTTCAGAAGTAAAGATGAGGTGGGGTTCACCACTCTGAAAGCCTGAATGAGCAAGTCATGCAACCATTCAAGAATAACGTTTCTCAACATAAAACAGCAACTTTTGCTTTTCATCACCTACGGTACATAAAATCATTAAAGGATTCAGAGAATCAAGAGAAATCTCTGTATGCAAGGGACAAGGCCAAAAACCAGTATTTTCTGGCCATGATCTGTGGGTCCTAAGGTGGCACTACATTAAAAACGGACGTGATTCTGTAGTGGAAATCACTGCATGGGCTCGGAAACACCACTGTCTGTGAACAGTTCGTTGCTGCAACCACAAATGCAAGTTGAAACTCTTTTTAAAACTGAGAAGAAACTGTACATAAACAGGATCCAAACTAAGATTAATAATAGTTGTTTTTTTGTTATCAGTCCTCAGCTGGGAGGGAGAGCGCTCTGCAATCAGTAGAGACGCCATCGAGGATGCACGCTACGCTAAACATGACACAGTAGTTGATGAATGGGACGAGGACTTTGACAGTGGAAAGGTAAAGAGGTGGAAGTTTTTTCTTCAAGTGTGTCATTGATTTGTATAATTTCCGTCTGTATTTTAGGTGTATGTATATTTTGACATTGACTAAAAAAACATAAGGGAAATGACTATTGAATACAAAATCACTATAATTTGCATGTGCTAGGACACACTTGAATTGAATACCTTTTGCAGATAAAAAAGGAATGTGATTGAAACGAATTTGTTGAATAAGTAATCTTAATACAAATTTTAGTCACATGAATAGTCTATAAAGTAAGAAGGAAGGTGGCAAGTACCAGCGGAATGATAAGGAAAACCAAAATGTGCCTTTGTCTTACCAAAGATATAAGACTGCCATGATTAAAGGACGTTATTTGGGCCGTTATGTTTGTCAGCACATACATCAATGTTCTCTTCCTTGTTTACTGTATAAAAATCCATAGGTAAAGAAAATAAAGAAGTACAGAAAAGAGAGGAGAAGAAGTGGAAATGTCTTCCAGAAAATCCAAGACCGTCGCCAAATGTGGTCTGTCACACCAGGAGGAAGGAGGAACAGTTTGGGGTATCGCTACTGACGTGAGGGGTGAGTCTGGAGTTTAGAATGCAGAACAAAACACAACAAGGTCATTTCAGTATGAGCTCAGCAGACTGAAAACCCTGTCTGCATATATAAGCTGATTAACAGTGCAAAGAATATAATTCAGAAAGTCATAGCCTGAGTTTATTTTTGCTTCTTGCCACAAACAGCATTTTCTGACTAGAAACCAAAAAATTTGTATTTTTATATATTTTTGCAATACTGAGCGATGTATGTTCATAATTAAATCAGCAGACAGCTGCATTTTAAGTTGTAGCAGCAGCATTTTACTAACACAAAGTTAAAGGTTCAAGGTTCCAGAGTCAGTTGGACTGGAATAATGCAGGCATTAGAGAATTAAAACCTCTGTCATATCAATCAGCTGTGCTTAAATGTTATCTACATGAAGTTCATTTAAATGATGATTGGAATAAAGACAACTCAAGATAGGGGTGGGCAATATGACAAATTTTATAGAGATCATTTATGTCACAATATGCTTTTCTGATCATATTGTGGATTCTTCTTCTTCTTCTTCTTCTTCTTCTTCTTCTTATGATTATTTTTTAATTATTATTGTTTTATTAAACCTAAAAAAACCTAAATATTATGATGTGTATCATGTGTCATGAAAATGTCTTGAAATTTTGTGATGTGGCAAAACATACCCCACCCCCAACTGAAGGTTATATAAACTTATCCATTACTGTTAAAACAAATGTGGACAGAAAATACTCTTTGTCTTTGTCTTTGCCTGGTGTGAAATGCTAAGCATTGCGGAGCAGTTCAGGCATGTAGCGCGCTGCATCACTTCTGGTGTAGAAACAGCTTTAGTCTCTCAAAACGCAAGTTTTATATATATATATATATATATATATATTATTATTTTATTTTCTTTCCCTTTGTTTTCTCTTCCCGTTTGTGAGTGAGTGAAGAGTATCACACTCTTCCACATTCTGTAGGAATGAATTTACAATGTGTTCTAAACTAATCCAGCTATAACATTTTGTTTTTAACATCTCCCCCATCCCTGTATGGCCAAAAGTATGTGGACTAATTATTGCGTTCTGTTGTTGGCAGGCAGGCAATCACTTTTTCACACAGGGCCCTGTAGGTTTGGATTTCTTTTTCCCTTAATAATAAAGACCTTCATTTATAAACTGCATTTTGTGTTTACTTGTGTGATCTCTGTCTAATATTTAAATTTGTTTGGTGATCTGAAACATTTAAGTGTAACAAACATGCAAAAGAATAAGAAATCAGGAAGGGGGCAAACACTTTTTCACACCACTGTATGTCAGGAACTCCTGAGGGTAAATCAGTTTTATCATGAAAAAGCAGTATGCTGCTCCTTTAATCTCACTAATACTATGATGCTATACAACATGCTACCAACACCACCATTTTGACAGCAGGACTTGCCAGTGTCTGTCAGTTACTTTATGAGGTCATTTCCTTGTAATTGGGGCATGTAAGAGAATAGAAGCTTTGAGCGACCTTAACACTTGTTCTGATGTATTTATAACTTGCTTTGTCTTTGTCTTCTACAGTTTCGAGATGAGATCTTGCTCGTGCTCCCTGGCTGACAGCTTGCCTTATTGGACAAGAAACTGCGTGGTCTCTCAGAGGACCGCAAAGTACTGTGAAGTAGAGGCCAAAGTCATCTCTTGGGGCTGAGTCCAGTGTTTGGAGTCCAGACCACTTCATTGTGGCATTAGGGTCAGGTCAGCGTAATAAATGACTTTAGCCACACTGATCCAGCTGATGTCTGTGATGAGATACTGTACTGTAGCCACTACCTTGCTTATCAGGACAGGAGGAAAATATGACCTGAAAACTGACAGTAATGGGTAACGGTGCTTTTATGGGCTACTGGCACATTCGGGCGTAGACCACTGTTTCGTACTGCCTCCCACTTTATTGACGCAGGAGCAAAACCATGCTTTTTTTGTTGGTGTGTTTGTTTTTTTTTTGTCTATTTTAGTTTTTTTTTAAGCTCTTTGAAGCACAGTGCTGAATGTTGGACATTTTAGGAGAACATTTCCCAAGTCAGAAGTAAACTCAGATATCCAGAAGAACAATACAGTACATACCAAATATGTAAGAACACCATCAATCATCTCTCAGCAGTGAGTGCTTCTGAACAATGTGATCATTTATACTTATTTTTCTTTTATTATTTTTTAATTATTTACATAATTTGGAATTCTTCGGAACCAAATAGACTGTTCATCACTGAAATATTGAAATGTAAGCCTTGCTTAACGCATTGCCCTTTTTAATATGCAGCATCGCTCAAAGCCCCAGAATCTTCCAATGTGTTGTGGGTTTGCCTTATTTGAGTTGAATATTATCAGTTTTGTTCACATGAATATGAATATGATGGGAATCTTCTTTAAGAGAAGACAGTGCCCTTTTTTGTGTGTTAATCTACCTAATCACTCATGTTATTTGTCTGTTCCGTGTTGGAGCAAAGCATATCCAAAGGTCGTGAGCTTAGTGCACCTTTTAATTGGCTGTACCCTCATAAGTTGTTGGAAAATTTGTCTGTCTGCAACACGTATGAGAAAATCAGAAGTATGGTACACTTTCTTGCGAAACGTCAATCCGTTTCCCCGCTGGAGGGGCTGCATTGGCTGCACTCCATCCCTTAGAACTCAGCAGGGAGGGTTATAGCGCATATCCCATTGCCACTCTTTCTACTCTATGCAAGTCTCACAGGTCACCTGAAACCGGGGGTCCACCTCAGGAAGCGCCCCGCAGAAGCCGGTCTTAAGAGAACATCGCTTTCTGTGTCCCTCTATCAAGCCTTCTGTACAAACCCAGCCACCCTTTCCAGTCTTCACCCACTCATTTTCACTCATCTGTCATTCATTATACAGAGGTGAACATCTCTGTAATTGTACTATAATGCTTTGGGACAAAAATAATTTTATTCCAGATACTTGACCACCGACAAGTTGTCGATTATTGAGAGTAAGATGTGACGCTTTCTTGACTAGAACATTGTACAGTCCCACTCGTGCGCTCTGTGACTTCCTAAACATCCTTGTAGTCGAGAATTATCCCCCCAGTACTTCCATTTTAGAAAAGTTGCCTTGAATTGATTTCTAAAAAAGATGAATAGAAGATCTTGAAAGTCCTACTTTCTAATTTAAAAGCGAGACGCTTATTAAAATGCACATGTAATTCACAAATGAAACCTAATATATTCTAAAAGGTTTTGAACTGTTATCTGGAGAACCTTCTCAGTGCTTAGATGTACGAGTGTCCTGTTTGAGAGCAAGTGCTCTTCTTAGCCAGGACCCTCATTTAAAGTCTGAAGGAGAAAAAAAAATAAAGCTGAGTTCTGTAGAATGTGTTGGTGTTCTGTTAGAAATGTCACTTGAGATCTTTTTCAGTGGAACCGACGCTGAAGAATACGCTCCGATCTCTGATTCATGTCATATTTGCACCGCTGATTCTGTACCTTTACGCCGCCTTTTCAAGACTAAGAGACATTCGATATTGAGGATACATGAATATAAATATACTGGTGCAATAAAGTTGTGATTTTTGTGAAAAAAAAATTCTGTGGTCTCATTTTTCAAATAAAGATGCTACTGTACAGGATTTTGCCATCAGTAGTAGATAGGTCACTAAGTCACTGGTCAGTTACTTCAATAATAGGTAACACGTTTGAAGAAATGAATCCTTTGTACTACTCCATTTGGTAATGTTTTGTCGAAATGAAAATATTCATGGAATATGCCTTGGAAGTTGTACTCAGTTATTCATAGTCAGTTACTCATGAGCTATTTTAACTGCATAATGTGAGCAATATTAACCATTTCATCTGCTCAGCCTAGTTGTATGAGTGTAGTGCACATTAAAAGGGAACTCCACTGATTTTTCAAAATTTCTGCACAATTCAGTAATTTGGTGGTGGTGGTTTGAAATGAAATGCTTCATTTGTAGAGAAACTTCTCTGACTACTACTTCCTTACAGTGGTGGTGGGAACCTGGGGCAAAAATGTGTACAACACAAATATAGCCATTTTATTTACTATCAAAATCCACCAGGAAACCTTCTTTGGAAGGATTTCTTCTTTTCTTTGGAGACTATTTTGCCTTAGAACACCCTTCATGTATCCCTCCAGCATGAAAGGATAAAAAAATGATTCAATATATTTTAAACAAAAAACCTTATCACAAAATTACTGTAAAACAATGTCTCAGACATCAGGCAGCATATTCATAACCATTTCATGAAATAACTTGGTAAAGGAGCTTTCAGAGGTGGACATCTGGTTCCTATCACCACCACTGTAAACAATTCTGGCTTGGTAAATTTCTCTACAATGGAGCATTTCACATCAAACCACTCTGAATAACTTTGTTGGTATAACCATTTATTATGCAGAAATTTAGAAAACTCGGTGGAGTTCCCCTTCAAGTTGTAGTGTTTATGGTAGTTGTAGTCCATCGGTTAATACAAACAGTAGAGAACAGTTCCACATGTTTGTAAAAAAAGGGCCATGCAATGTACAAAATGACCAGTAGTTGTTTAGTTTGGGGCTGTAATGTCATACATAAAGCCAGCAATGAGTTGGGATTTCACAGTCTACCCGCTGAGAAAATAAGTCATCCCAAAAGACTTCTCTGGATTCGGGAACTGAAGCACCGCCTTTGGTACATATTGTCTAAACTATCTTTAGCCTATATGCTGTCTTTGGTCTGTTTTTAATAATAATGAGCTGATGAAATCACACTAAATAACAGCAAGCCTTGCCTTTCGCTAATAAACTACATCCCTACATCCCTACCTGTTGGCACATCATGGCCAATAAAATACAAAGATTTTTCATGATGCCTCAGGTTTTTTTTTTCACAATAAAAATGACATATATACTTTTCTGAAGCATTTTGTGTAGTTGTTATCTTGATGTATATATATATATATATATATATACACATATATATATATACATATATACAGGGTGTCCCAAAATGTATTTATATATATATATATATATATATATATATATATATATATATATATATACATATATACAGGGTGTCCCAAAAAAATTGACATCATAACCAATTCTCCCTCAAATGATCTCAAATTTTAACACACTGTGTAAAAAATAAACAAAAAAAATAAAAAATTTTTTAATAAAATAAAAAAAGTTTAATTTTTAATGTTTTTTTCAGGTTGAAGAATGGCCTTCACTAGAAATGAAAAGGCATTTTGTGTGTTAGAATATGCTCAAACACAGTCAAACAAGAGTGTGCAGCGCGCATTTTCAAGAAAATTCAATAAAAACGCACCAACTGGAAAGCAGATTTGGACATGGCACAAAAAATTCAAAGAGGAAGGCTGTCTGTGCAGGGCAAAGGGATCTGGACGACCACCAGTATCGGAAAATATTACATTTGTAAAGCTTTGTGAAGTCGGTTATAAAATCTACATCCCTCCGAATTTCTTGTTGGAATTTTGATAAATAAGTCTTGTATTATTCAACATGAAGCCTATTTAATTTTGTTTGCCTAGGACATGTAGTTACTGTCAATGTCAATTTTTTTGGGGACACCCTGTATATAAAATTTGTGCTACAGCACTAGCAACATGTTATGTTCAAAATGTTCAAAAATGTTATGTATATTTCTGCTACCAGTGGTTACAAAATACAAGATCTGAATTCAAGGTCCAGATTTGACCCAAACAAATTGAGAACAAGTTGAAAGGGCAGTTTTGCAAGGCCTTCTCGAATTCAATGTATCTATCTGCCTAACTACAGCACAGGTACAAAACATGCTGAGTTTGTAGTAATTTTTGCAAAACTGTTTAGAAGAAATGACAACAGACAACATTCTTTAGTGTTTGAGACTGCAAAATGCATGTTGGAGTTCAATTTAACTGTCTGTTTCAGAAGAAATTAACCTGTTAAAATCATCAGGTTTATGTATTTAAGGTTATGTTAAAAATAAACAGATGCGTGCTTACACTGAATGTGAGCACTTGTTTCCATGGAAATACAACGGCATATATTCCAAAAGTAAATGTGGCCACTCAGAAAGCAAGTGCAGTAAAGTTACAGGAGCATGTGAGGCTCATAATAATACTCAAGTAATGTTGTATGAGAAATATGCTACATGTTGGGCTTAGTTAAAGCTGGAGCCTTCTGTAAGTGCTGTGCAGTATAGAATTACAGTGTTTTTCTGTCTTTTATCAAGATAACTGTGCAAATATGGTTCAATTAATGGCATTTGCTATAAGATGCACTCTAACTTTAGAACAGTTAAACAGTAAGATGCTTCAGTGACAAGTCTCAGCATGCACTGCAAAAAACTACAATGACAGTGATTGACTTAGTCTGAGGTAATTGCAGTGAGTCACTGGCAATGATCTACTGAGTCCTCAGTTCTTGGCAATGGGTTATAGATGAGAGCATCAGACTAGATGTCAAGCCTCACATGTTGTTGAGGATAATAAGAAAATTACTCAAAAGCCTATTAATCAGTGGCGGTTATGCCATTGTATATGTTGTAACTGAACTGACCTTACACTGTGCAATACAGGCTTTTGTGAACACTGACCTCGGGCCTGTTACACCAGCTATATGTAAGCTCAAACATAGGCTAGTTACAGGGTGAAAGGTAGCTTATTGACTGATTATTGTTGTCATGTTAAAGTAATGTGTGCATCAGTTAGTTTTTACTATTTAAGACATTATACAGTTTGGTGTTGCTGCAACCAAATTCAGTGAAATGATGTTCTATCTAGTGTAAACAAAGGAATTAGTCAAAGCTTAATCGCATATCGTCACTGCTGGACGAAAACCCACCACCACCAAAATGGTGACTTTTCAGGAAAAGGAAAATACCTCCTTGCTGAAAATTCCAGCTATGACCAGCTTGTGCTGCTGGTTTCAAATGATCTAAGCTGTTTTTTCATGGTCTTTGAACACAAACTGTACAGCAACAGATGAGCTACTGTCTTTGACTTTACATTTACAAGGTGAATTAACAAGGTAGGTGCGTATATGTATACAGTAGACCGCACAAACCCACAGAGCAGAGTCACTGAGCGCTGAAACACGTAGAATCACCTGTCTTCTGTTGCATCACTCACTACAGAGGTCAAAACTACCTTTGGAAGCAACGTCAGCACAAAAATTGTGTTTCTGGAGCTCCATGAAACGGGTTTCCATGGATGAGCAGCTACACACAAGCCTAAGATCACTATGCGCAATGCCAGGTGTCAGCTGGATTGGTGTAAAGCACACCACCACT